CTATATATAACAGTCAAAATTCTATTAAGTAAATCGATAAAGGTCACTTAATAGCGGTTGTTTAGGACATAAAAATACACATATACTAAAAGTTTGAAGCAAATCGGAGAACTTTTTCCTAAGATGTTTTTGCATTTTACGTTTGAATGTAAAATGCAAAAACATCTTAGGAAAAAGTTCTCCGATTTGCTTCAAAATTTCAGAATATGTGTATTTTTATGTTCTAAACAACCGCTATTAAGTGACTTTTATCGATTTACTTAATAGAATTATAACTATAATTGGCAACCAATTGATTAGTAAAATTTTTATCAACTCAGAACACTAAACCTTGCTAAGTTAAATTTAAAAATTTTTATAAAAGATTTTTTATATGTTTAATAATCATATAAGTTTTTTAAAAAAAATTTATAAATTGCTATATATAAAATTAAAAATAAAATTAAAAAAAAAGCTAGCTGGCTAGCTAGATTTATTTAAAAATTTTTATATTATAAAACTAATAAATTAAATTTGTATATTCTAAGAATTATTAAAATAGTAAAATAAATCAAATAAATAAATAAATAGAATTAAAATTTATAAAAAAAACAAAATAGATTAAACAGTTTTAAGCAAACTACTTTTGAATTATTTATTATAAAATATATTTACAGTACAGTAATTTGTAATATTAAAAAAAATTGGTTTTTAATTTTTAGTTTTAAATATATATAATGTTTTTAAAAAGTTTTTATTTATATTATAAGTATTTTTTGTTTAAAATATTGCTTGGTTAAACTATTTTATAAAAAAAATTAAAAAAATATTTTTAGTTAGTTTGGATTGTATTTAATTATAAATTTATAATATAATAATTTCTTGAATTATATATAAAAGATTATTATTAGATTGTTAGAAAAAATATTTTCAAAATTATTAATTATAGTATATTCTTTAATTTTAGTTTGGTAAATATCTAAATAATAAGTCTTAAAATTTTTTAAAGTTTCTAATAAACGGCTCTAACAATAATATTCAATAAACTAAGTAAAAATGTTTGGCATCCTAAAAAACCTAACCTTTAACTATAATTTAAGTCTTAACCTAACCTTAATGTTTAATCTTAGCTTTAAATTTTTCGATCGATTATATAATAACTTCTAAATTATTACACGGCTCCTAATTGTTTACCCAAGACCTTTTTTACTGATATTCTCACAGTTGATATTTTCGTGGCTGATATTTTTCACGGATTTTATGTCCGCCGTGAAAATATCAACTGCGAGAATATCAGTAAAAAAAATTATCGTGCAAACTCTTATGATCATAGATTTTTTTCTTCTTGTTATTTTTTGTACGTTATTACATAAGCACAACAATTCGAATTAAAACTCAGTTAGCCAATGATGACTTATAAATCATTATCATAATTGCATGATCCAATATCTTATAAGTCATGAGTGAATAATTAGGATCCGTGTAATAAATAAGTTATTACACGTATTTGTCGTCGATGTCATTAAAATCCAAATCAATCTCAATATCATTCATTATTGCAATACTGAATAATATCTCGATTAATCCGTGGTGTTTAATGATATCTATGATAAAACGTGAAATAACTATTACCTAATTCACTAATTTTAAAATAATTTAAGCTAAGATACTATTAATTATAAAAAAGAATAAAAAGATTTTTTTTATAATATGTAGCAAAAAAAAACCTGCGTTAGCACAATTAAGAGGCTATAGTCTTTTTATTAAAAGCTACTACTACAAAATATATTTAGTAAAAAGGAAAAATAAAATTTAATTATTCTACCGGTAAGATTAAAAAAAGTAAAATATAAATATTATTACTTTAAAAATTATACCACAAATATTTTAATAAATAATTATTAAAAATTTTAATCATAGTTTTTCTTTTTAAACTTTGAATAAGAATTTTTAATAACCACTTGACCCAAAAATTTAGTAAAATTTATATATTGATTTCATAAATTCATAGAATTAAATAAAAAATAAAAAGCCTTCTTTTAAAGTTAAAAGTTTTTTTTTTAAAAAAAAAAGCTACGTTAAATTTTTTAATATTGCATTTCAAAAAAAAAAAAACTCCCAATTTAGTCACTAAAGATCGATGGTTTAAAATGTCTTGTTTATAGTTCTATAATTCACACAGCACTATTGACTGACTTCATCACAACATTTTGTGATGAACGTTATTTTGAAATTAAGGATCCGATTTTTGAAATAACGCCCGTAGTTGTTATTTGTATCTGCAATTGTGACTAAATGACTACGCGAAATACATAATAATTAAACTTTAATTCTTTATTTAGTTAGTGCGTTAAGTGACAATAAAATTCTGGGTAAAAGCAACTGACATCTTTATTCAAATAAAATAAAATAAAATACAAAGCTATTTATCGATACCTCCATAAACATCAATATAAATTTCCACGGCAAGAAAACTTAACATAAATTTAAAAAGATGAATATAATACATGTCTAATAGAATATAATAAAGTATTTATGAAGTGGGAATCGTTATTTTTTTTTATATGAAAACAATTTTTAGACATTTTTCTTATTTGATCCAAACATTTCAAAAATGGACGTGAAACAATTTTTAACACATGAAATCGGTACGATAAATATAAACTCATATAGTTTCTCACAAAAGGAACTATAAAATGAAGTCGATGTTCTCTCACCAAAGTCCACGGAAAAAGAAACTTTTTCATTTTCTGACATAGCAGTAATAACGGCTAAATTTTTTTCAGGAGGAAACGAAAACAGTTTTGAAGCTAAAGCATCATTCTCATCAATTACTTGACCTTTATGTATTTCTGTATTAAACACTCCAACACAATATTGTGGTTTAATATTAAATGTTGCTGTGGAACTTCGATGTAAATTTCTCACGAAAGCTGTTGTACCACCCCACATTCCTACTCCACAATTCGCTGATGCAGTTGAATTATTGGTTATTTTTATTGTGTCGGGGTCAATTCCGTGTCCATTTGATAAGGGCATAAGTGTTTGTGTTTCTCCCTGGAAACCAAAATATGAATTATTGTCAATCACACATATTCTTTTTTTTTTTTACTTAATATTTAACTTACATCATAATTAATAATTTGCCAATTTGAACCAAGTTCTGCAGTAGCGGTTTGTTTAGTATGATAAGTGCCGATGTGATCTTTTAATCGGTATTCAGCTAAAGCGACCATATATTTGTCAAGTTTCCAAGAAACAGTAGATGTTGAACCATTAGGTGTAGAAGTAATAAGCCAAGCTACGCTGTCCGAATATTCGGCATCATTCATCTGTTGATAGACACAGAATGTCAAATACTGACCCAATCCGGTCTTGTTTTTAAATTCAATAAAATATTTAGACATCCTTAAAAACGAATGCTCTCTTTGTAATTTTGTAAAAGGAAAAAAGAAGGAAAAAAAAAAAGTGACGTATTGGTTGATTATTTATACTTATGCGGAACAGTACTCACATGAGACATATTCGATTTAATAAATCTAGCCTAAACTGGCTACACCTGAAGTCGTACCATGCACATATACATTCAAATTTCAATTTGATTGTTTACACCTTTAACAATGTCTATATAAGAATGATTGTGACTCCAGACTTACCAAAATATACAAATTCGTCAAAGAGAAACTTCGTATGTTCGGTCAGTATATCCTAAAGTTACAACCAAAACTAAAATGTGAGCCTGATTTCAATCGAAACCAACCCTAGACACAATGTTATGCAAAATTTGACTAACTCTGTTATGTATGAGCAAAGAATTAGGAGATCAATGAATCCTGCATGTTACCACTGTTTTTAACAATAGTAACATGCAGATTCACAATATTCATTGATCACACTAATTCGAAATAGGATAGGCTGCCAGTGTATCGGAAAAACATTACGTTCGTTATTTAATCACATGTTCAATAGGCGTTCTGGTCGTTTCAGGAACAAAATACATTAGTGTACTTAGCATGGAAATTAACTAACAGATATCAACAATTACCCTTTATCTATTATGAACATTAGCAGTTCAAAGAAAACATGAATTTTATTAAATAACTAGAAACTAACGCTATACTGTTCAGTAAATCCGAAGTTCGGCTTCATCATTTTTTATAATTATGCTAATAAAGAAATTGAAGAGACTATATACCACATAAAATCAAAATTTTATTAAATCTCCTTAATATGATAATACAAAAATGATGCACGAAATTAAGTTAGAACATTTGAAAGAATTTTTTTTCTTTTAAAAAAAAAAAGAAGCGTTTTATTAAAGTTTCTGGGTAAAAAGACGTAAACATGTCACCAAAATGACACGTGCTATAGAAACAATTAAAACAGTTATTCAAATTATAAAGTATCGAAGGACTAAGTCCGACATAAGGAAAACTTAATTATCCCATAGGTATTATATTATGTATACACCGGTGAAAAAATCTCATATATAATGGTTGTGCGCGTTTCAATTTTAAAAAATTTTTTGGACCATGCACATTTGAAAATTTTCTAGTTTAAGTGTGTCATTACATCATTGCCCTATTATATTACAGTGTTAATTTTAATTTTTTTATTTAATTTTTGCATGAAAGACAATAATATAATAATTACTTAACCTCATTGATTTGTCTGTAATGTCTGAGTTACAAATTTTGCAGTTTTTATAAAGTTTGTGGCTGCGATTCCTGCATTAATTTATTAACTGAATAAATTTGTAGATCGAGTATGTAATATGAAGAAAAGGGAGTTTTCGTATTTTTTTCACTTGTCTTGTACATTTTTATTGAATATGAAGCGATTAGAGATGTCATTAAGAGGAGGCCGTGGCTTTTTATCGTGACATGTAAGAGATATTTGATGGACGTGAGTAATGTACCTAAATTGAAAAAAAAAATTTTTAGAAAAAGTAAATTTATTCAAAAATACAATTAAAACTCACTATAGTTTTTTTCATTTGGTAATTTCATTATTGATTTTATTTCATTATAAAGAAGCATCAGATGGTATAGGAATTTTTTGTGCATGTGATTTTCAAGTAAAGCACTATGTTGAATGTCAAATACAGGCCACCATCTGGATGATAAGAAGTACCTTGCATACGAATTCCTTGCATCGATTTGTGATCAAGTATGTTGGTTATTTCCTCCGCAGTTAGAAAATCTGCTTGTTTAGGAAAATCTCTAATCGCTAATGTATCTATGTAATCTGCATTAGGCCTTTGGCTTTGTTTTTGTCTATCAATAATAGACCCAATTTCAGAAAATTTTTTCACGTTTTTTCAAACCCCAAATGAATTTTCCACAAAAATTGTATATAAAATACAGGACAAATAGTTTATCCGCTGGCTCATTACTTAAGTTTTTTCATTTTTCAAGAATGGTTGCAAGATTGAATTTCGCAATTGATGCATAATTGTATACACTTTCGGCCTTTACCATCAACTTGTTTAACTATGTAATAAACTTATATAGAAAGTCTCGTAGATCATCGATTGTTTGTATATTCTCAATAGACGTAGTGGATGGAAACGATCAACTGCCCGTAACTATTCTTGTGTATGCTTATCGATATTGGGAATACAAGCTTTTTGAAGTTCTAAAATGTCAGCTTCGGTAGGTACAGTATTCATTTAAATTTAAAAAGGAAAGAAAATATTGATCTATATATAGTAACGGTAATAAAAATTAAATGGGTTTCACCGGGATACGTCATATCTGTGTGATAATCCAGTAAACAATACTCGTTTATTAAATTACTATCTAATTTCACGAGTCAAAATATGTCGAAGATATGTCAAGAAATAAGTTTTAATTAGCAAAAGTATTTTTAATCGATCAATCGAGCTTGTCAGTAAGGTGGTTTATTACATGAAAGAAAAAAGTTTAAATAGTAAAAATTATCAGTGAGTGTACCATTACAGTCAAAAAACTTTTCGCCAAACCACCTTTTTTTTTGTGCTGACTTATAAAACTTTATAACCTTAAAGTGAATACTACATTTAAAGAATTTTTTTTTTTTTTTATAAGCTATATAGTACGTGTTTATTAGCTAATATATTTCTGTATTTGCGTTTATTTGAGATTTAGGTCGTTCTCAAGGGTTTACTAATTTCACCACCACTTCCCATTGGACGAAACCAATTAAATCACCATCTAATGCGTCGTAATTAAAGAATAAATTACTTCTTTTCGCAATGATTACATTGATTAAAAATTTCTTTCTTTTAAAAAAATAATTATTTTCGACGGTTTGCTCTTTTGGGTTTTAGCACTTTCAAGTTTTTAGTAATAATTTCGTATGAACGTTTAAATAAATTTTTGCCAAA